GAGGAACCTTTTTCTAATACCCAGCCTAAGCCTCCTGTGACAACTTCAGGCCAGCCCCTCAGGTCCTGTCCTTGGGGTAGTATTACAATGGTAGAGATTTTAAATCTGACTGAAGCCCATTTTTTGTTGGCTCAAACCCCAACACTGGTTGGGACCACCAGGTACACTAATCCATACTACAACAGACCAGGAAAGCTGCAGGAGCCCTTCTGGGTCTCCATTCAGTGCCTGGAGTAAGAAAGGTCCTGCGTTCTACAGAGCCAGGGCAAGGGATTCTCCCAGGCTTTAAGGAGAAAGAGAATCAAACAAATCTGCGAAAATTACAAGTTTCTGAATTTCAAATAACAGCAGACATGATCTTGGTTGTCTTACAAGAGTGCAAGAAGGCCATCTGGGGTCAAAGCAAGATGTTGCTTGTAGTCTACTTTTTAAAATAAAGTATATCTAAGAAAAGGAGTATGAGAAATTGAGCTAATCCAGATTTTCTGGTTATATTCAGTGCTGGAAATAAATATCAAGAGGTCCTCTATTTCCTTTGTAACCTTTTTTCAGCTTTTCTGATTTTCAGAGGTATCCACACTTCCACAGACTTAGATTAATAATAGATATCTTAATGTTTAAGGCAAAAAATTGGAATTCAAAACTAATGCTAAACAGAAATAAGCCACCAAAATGTCATACCCTGTCCAAACTTCAACATTAAAAGCCTGGTTGAAAAAATAGTATAAGTACTCATAGAATTTTTGCAATCCTTAATCTCTCTAACTTCCTCTACTAGGGTTAAAATAGTCAAAATGCAGATGACTTTTCAGTGATTGCCAGCCATAGCAGCAAACATAATTTGCAAAAAATAACACATTTTATGGAGACAAACAGCAGGTTTTTGTAGGTCTTACCAAACTAAATTAAACACTTTTATCCCAGCTTTCTGAAAGCAGATGACTAGAGAACGCTCTTCCGGAGCTGTCCTGCATGGTATCTGCTGATATTCATGCACTGACAAAACTATTTTGACATATGGAACTATGTACAGTAAATTGAAGTCCTGGTTAAAAATAATGATACTAATTAGTTTTAAAACGTGGGTGATAAAAGCTATATATGCCAAATAGAATAAAAGACAAGTTGATGAGGGAAAAATGCTTTTAAGAGAGTACCACTAAAACCTGTGTCTGATCTTTCAAGAGACTAAGCCCCTCTTGAAGGGAATACTGAATACTTGATGTGATCACCGTGGTCCCCAAGGCTAGCAGAGCAACATCATGCACTGTGTTCTTAGTTTTGGCCCTGGTCCTTGTGTCACATTTATAAGTGGCTGCCATGAACAATGACCAGGGTATGTCTCTCTTCTATCACAGTGCTCCTCCTCTCAGAGAACCTGTGTGGAAACTTGCTGCACTCCAACCTTAATCCACACATGATTTAAATGATCACATGAAAAAGTTCACAGGGTTCATGTCCACATGGGCAATTGGCTCTTTATCACCCAAAACAAGACATATGGAGCCTAATGTCAGGGCTTCCATGGTTATTGGATCAGGTCCTGAGGTGAAGAAACATACTGGCATGTTGAAGTAGAAAATAGCAATGTGCAAGTCCAGAGAAAGAACAGTTTGTGAAAATGCAGTCTATATGAGAAAGTCTGTCCTTGAAGCCACTCTTGTCTAAACAAATTATTTTCCCACAGTAATCTGGTAAACTGTCTGTTATGCATTGAAGTTCATCTATCTATAGAAAGAGACTTGAAAAACTCTTAAATGTGTCCAAAAAATACTGAGCTAAGTTGATCCCTCTTATGCATCAGCAAGTAGCTCCATGTCACTGCATGAACATCCCCCTGTAACACTCCAATCTGCAATGAGAAAGGAACAGCAAGTCAGATGCTGCTCTTAGCAAAGTCAATAGGAGCATTTATGTTGATGTCAATGGGAGCGTTTACATTGATCTCAAAGGAAGGAAGATTGCATCACCAGCAGAGAGATGACATTCTTCCAGAAATTAATCTAAAGTACAATAAAATCTGTAGGAATGTCACAGACCTTCTTTGCTTGAGCTTGCATATGTTTTAGAGGTAAGGTTCTGATATGAGTGTTTTAAAAATGTGGTGCGGTGTTCTTTGCATAATATTCAGGCCTATTGTCTGCTCTCATTTTTTACATAGAACACACTGTAATCATCTGCATTTCATCACTTCCATCTCAAGGAAGCTAGTTCTGTTCAGGTGGTCTTTTACATTACTTGAATAATGTATATAATGAATGAAAAGTAAGTTCAAATAGGCTTTACAAGAAAACCCTCTACTCATATATACAAGGACTGATCAGAAGGTTAAATAAAAAAAAATGGCCTATAACTGGCTTCAAATATTTTAAGCAGAAAATGCATGTAAGTTGTCTTAAAAAGAAATGGTAACTATCTGATTGGATTAATGCATCTATATAATTAAACATGCACAAACTTTAAAGGATGAAGATACTATGGGCTTTAGTCTTCCTTAGCAAAGAACCCGTCCTGTTCAATCAATGCCATCTAAGTAAAAAGGTGATAATGAAAAAACATGTAGTCATAGTAAAAATAAACCTTCTGCAAGCACTTTAAGTAAGGCTTCTCAGAGGCTTCACATATTGTGGGACTTAGAGATAGCTATCTGCATCTGAATTATTTCAGAGAGCTTAACATACCTCTGTAGATTGTGGAGGAGAGTTTAAAAATTAAAAGAGTAAAGAAAAAGAGCATTAAAACCAACACTGAACATTTTTCTCTCTCTCTTTTTTTTTAAACTTCTGAGCTGATTTTTCTGAAGATTGGGATCATCTTCAGTACAAAGCAGGAAGAAAAGTAGAAATTCTATTTTCCCCATCCTTCCCAGCCAACCTCAGTAATTCCCCAGTTTCTATTGCATATTAGCTTAATTCCTTTTTTTTTTTCACTCCAGTCTGTAGACAGTATACTGGGGAAAGCATGACTTTGTGTCCAGTTGATGATTTTCATTCACTGTCTCTGAAACAAACATGAAGATGTGTTAGGTTTGATCCCACACAGCCTGGAACAAAAAATCTCATGCTTTGGATAGGTCTGAACCACCTGTGGGTCACAAGGTGTGCCATCAGGCCTTGTGCAGACTTTACCAATGAATCCTGTGGTAGCTGAAGGTAGGCCAGGACAGAGAACCCTGACTACTTTTTTTGTTTTTAACAGATTATTTAAAGTGACTCCTTTAGCAGAAGTCAGGAAGCAGAACTAATAAGCATCAGGTTGGAAGAAGGCAGAACTTGCAGCCTACCTCTTGCTATAACCTTAATCCTGGGAAAGGTTCTGTTAACAGACAGGGAGACATGGGATTGAGAAGACTTTCCTAATGAGCAGTGGACCATCTTCTGGATTGTCAGCTTGCCAGGACAGGATTTCATTTCGTGTTTTAAACCAATGATTTCTGTACAGCCTCACATAATACTTTAGGTAAGAAGTCAAGAAGGATTTTAATTAGTGAAAAACTGAATTTCAGCAAAGAGATGTAGAAGCAATTATTTACCAACACTGTGTATGTGACCATAACGTAGGAGGGAGAAATGTCCTTACAAGTTCTGTTAGTACTAGACATTTCAGAATCTTGGCTACAACATTGTCTTCATCTGTATTCCATTTATAACATTTGCAGTGTAGGAAATGTGGTGGATGAAAAGTAGTGTGTAGGTAGGTAGCAATGCTGTGCAGTTGGATGGCTTTCACAGCAGTCACTCCTTTAAAAGTACACACACACTTGCACACAGTGCCACCCATAAAATTCCCCTTTTTAATTTCAGGAAGAACTGAGTAGAAGGCCTTATTTTTAGCAATTATTGGTTTCTAACCTGCTAGAACCAGAAATCTACACTGCCATTAATTCATCTGCAGACTTCACATTGCTTTGAATGGGAGTCATGCAGGAATGGACAGTTCATGGCAGTTTAAATGAAATAAGCTTTTGCAATGAAGAAATGAACACTGAAGCCAATCTAAGCCAAGAAAGGCACATTGACATCCTGACTGAGAGCTGACCTAAAAGGATAGAACATCAGGTGCAATTGTAATTTTTCAGTTTTAAGAGACAGATTAAGTACTGAAAACAGCTGGCAAAACGATAGAGATTATTTACAAGTATTCTTGTGTTTTTCTTGAGCTGGGTCTTGTTCTGAAGGTCAAGAGCAGCCCCATTGCTGCTGAAAAAGAACTTTCTGGACATGAGACTGAGTCCATGCCACTGGTAAAGCTCACTGTTTTAGTTTGGCCTTTGTATAATAATCCTTCAGTCACCCAATACCAGCTTTCTAGACCATCTAACAAAATGCTGAGAAGGGCAGGCTGAAAACATCTGTTTTTTCAGTAGAAGTTTCTCCTGCCCTGACTCTAAGTGTTCCTTCAAGGGCACTGAGTTTATTTCCCTAAGGAACAAGCTCCTGGACTTATGATTTAATGAACTCCAGGAAATTGTCTTTTCACATGTCATGGCGCCCCGCCCTCCCACTCAGTAACATCTTAAAGCCAAGGAAGTGCTCTGCATCTGAATGGGCAAAGATTTCTCAGTGAAGATCTTCTATTTGCAAGGGTAGACATTTTCTTCTGTCCACACAAACTATGATAGGGAGTGAGTGTGAAGAGCAGCAGATAAATTCAGGTATTGCGCTACCTTTCAGGGGAAAACCTAGTCCATATTTGTCCTCAGATCAGATCACAGTGCAGCTCTTGCCCCAGACTCAACTCACCAGCCTACTGCTGTTGTCATGAGATCAAAGAGGGATTAGGAATTAAGTGCAGTTAAGATTAGGAGTTTCTTAATAATCTTGGAGGATATTATATGTAACTCTAGGTGAAGGTAGGTGAAACTTCTGTTTGACTTTCAGGAAGGAAAAGGGTCCGTATCTCTTCATGATTGCAGTACTTAATATTACTTTTATAATACTGCACATGATACATACATGACTGTGCCTTTTAAAATATACCAATTTATGAGTACTTACCTCCCCAAAATCAGTCTCCTTTAATGTTTCATGTAAATCATCTCAAGATTACCTCACATTTCATGAACCACACAAAGTCATAAATGGATCCTGAAAAATGAAAGATGAAAGTATTTTTCTAATTATGGTCCTGTTGTACAATAGGAAAAAGAAAACCAAACATATCAAATCTAAAATAACAAAAATAAACAAATGCACCCCACTCCCAAAACAAGACAGAATATTATTGTCAAGATTTCTTGCCCTGGGAGTGGTCTTCTGGATAGTTTCTTATGAGGATTTTCACTTCTCAGTGATGGAACACAATAATTGGAATAAAATAATTGAATTTCTGGATAGAAAATGTGACACACATAAGGACAGGTTTCTGTCAAAATGCAAGCACTCTTTAGTTTTTGAAACATCCCTCTCCTAAATGCTGTCATTAAAGACTAAATTTTTGTCTCTTGCAACAAAAAAATGTAAATCTATCTAGTGAATAGATTTACATTGGTTTTATTATACTTTTATTCAAATAACCTTCACAATGTTACCTGGTTTTGTCCTATCTAATATCATTGTTTGGAGCATGCTTCACAGAGGAACTGAATTAGGAAAAGCATACCATGTGAAAAATGATCATTTTGAAATAATATTACAGCCTGAGAAAACATTGAAAGTCACTGTCTAGCACGCCTTACAAACAGGAAATCAGACTGAACCCAGGAAAACACCCTGATTTATAATAGATTGTCATACTTTACACTCCAATGGTCTTTTTAAACTGTAAGACACTTGGCAAACATGAGACAAGATGTTATAATGTACTTCCTCTCTGTTTGATGGCACTTTTTTTACCCAAGCTGCTGATAGAGTAATTGATAGAAGGAGGCGAGTAACCTTTCTAATTTCATGAATGGAATCATGATGCTGTTCAGTCTGGAGCTCAAAGAAGGAACTTAGATTGATTTGTGGGTAAACTGTGAGATAGTGTCAGAAGAATAAAAAAGCAATTTTTTAGCTTTCCTTAAATTACACTTCAGATATGCAAGGATTTGTGATTTCACTAAACAAGTTAAAATAATTTACAGATGCGTGAATTTTTCTTAAATGGAAAGTTCTTCTGCTGTTTAAGAAATAATCAGAACTATGCTTGTACCAAAATGAGGTGTGTGGCAGTGGTTATTGCTGGAGTGCAGCTCTCTGTGTGAGAGGCTGCATTTCCTGGTCAGATGCAGAGTGTGGGAGGGAAAATGTTCTGCTTTAAGTGGAAGAGCTCTGTTTTTCCATTGTCCAAATTCATTCATTCCTGCACAAGAGCAGGACTCACTTCACTTACCTTGAACCATCTTAATGTTAAATGTTTGTTTTAAACTAGTCATCTAGGCTGCCTCTATACTTAATGGGTACCCATAAGCACTTCCAGAAGGCAATCATCCTAGCCTAAAATAGCTATCTTCGATAGCAGTTTATTCCTAGCTAAATTAGCCAGCTTAAACTGCTTAATTCTGGTACCTAAATCAGGTAAAATGAACCTCAAACCAAGAATTAGCAAAGAATAGCAAGGCCAGTGAAAGCATCAAGACTTGCACAGTGAGAACACAAACATCTGTTGAAGAAAAGACATAACAGTCCAAAGTCTTCTGTGAAAGCAGAAGAAAGTCATGCTTAGCAAACGTGCCTGGGCTGGTAGAAACATCTGGGCAGGAGTCCTCATGCTGCAAGATTCTTATGAGCAATAAAACACTAGTGCTGACAGAGAGATCCATAGTGAATAAGCCAGTGAAAGCTTTTACAGAAAAGCAGAACTAGTGCTTAAAAAAAACCTCATATTTTACATTAAACTATAGTTTGTATTCAGTCTAACTCCACCAGCAAACCATGTCAGGTCTTCAACATGGAGGAAGATTTTGTCAAAATACTTTGTCCTGATCCAGCCTTCAAAGCCTCTACATTTAGAGCAATAGAGCTAATGAGACAATAGGACTACGATGTGTACAGAGTCCACATATCTTGGGCTGGGTATGAGCTGGCAAGAGGGGAAAGTATGTGGTATGAAACCACGGTATGGCTTCTGGGCCTGAATAATGTGCTGCCCACAGCTCTGCCACAAAAAGGATGACAAGATTCTTGAAAAATAATTCAAAGTTCATATGCTCTGTAAAAAAATTACTTGCCTGAGGAGATGAGTTTAGAAGTAGGAAGACAAACCCATGTCCTTGGGAGATTGGTGATAAGAGTAGTGGAGTATGGTGAAATACATTACTCAGCTGATGGTGTCAAAGGCACAATTTTGCATTTATGTGGGAAAACATTGCGTTGTGAAGTGTAGTTGTCAAAGAGCTCTAAATGGAACAAGGTCTGAGTCTCCTTTTGTTTACAGAGCTGTAAGCAAAAATACCTAACAAACATGGTGCCCTTAAGTGACAAAACATGACAGGGTTTTCTATGGTCACTGAGTGCAGACACTGGAGCACTTGCTCTGCACACTGTGGAAGAAGAGAGTGTGTGGGAGAAGGGATGCCTCATTGGGAGAGGCAGGCACAGTGTGGGGCTGCTGCCTTCACACAACACCCAGAACAGGTCTGGCCCACATGTTGTTGACTCGGAGTGGAGACGACGCACCACTTTATACGCTTGCGCTGTTATGTATGGACTTCAGAGCAGAACTTGGTTCAATACAAATGTTAACACTGAAAGCGTAGGAATCTTACTTCAACACCCCAGAAAAGCCAGGTGACTGGTCAATCCCCAATGCTTGCTCAGTCTGAGATCAATGGAGATGGACAGCAATCTCTGGGTCAACTACTCATTAAATAGGTGTTTCTGAAAAACACACAACAACACAGTCTCCACTTCTCTCTTTCCATAGACTGGAAAAGAAGCTTTGGACTAGATAGCCAGCCCTTAGAAACTCAAGAACAATATGAATCCAGTCCAAAATACTATTTTAAGGCAAAGATGTATCAGTAATTTAACTACAAGTGTTTTTCTAAAGCTCTTGTGGTTTCCCCAAGCCAAATGTCACTGGAAATTCAGTGCTCAACTTAAGCATAAGAGGTATCTCAAAGTATTTGGGTAGAGAAATGCAGTGAAGATATATGAATAACTTCAACTGCTCTCTGAACTACTGCACAGAAATACACAGCATGATTGTAGTGCCAAATTAGACCAAATGATTTGCAAAGCCATATTACATTACTTTTTATATCTCACAAATATGCAGGCACAAATAAAACTTAACAACTTATTCCTATACATTTTTTATACTAATGAGTTCCTTGCTTTACTTACAGTTTTTAAATAGAATTTTATACATCGTTGCTGATAATAATTTGGTTATATGTTGTATCAAGTTACTTTTCATATGTCAATAAACACACACTACTGTAGTAAGATTAAAGCTGCACAAAGTAGGAATATATTCATATACTCATGCATAACACTTGAGGGAGACAATAAAAGGAGAAATCATTTGTATGGTCTAAAAGTAGTATATCAGCCATTTTGTGGCCTTCTCCATACAGGGAGAGCTCCACAGAATGCGACAACAGATGAAAAAATGACACAATTGACTGAAGTGTAGCATTTTTTAAATAAGTTTTTGCCGAGAGCAAAAGGAAAGAATATATTCCTGAATAGATAACTTGTGTCCTTGGAGTTTAAGGGCCATGAGCTGCAAGAGTCATTTTTATGGTATCATTTTTCTTAATCTGGTTAATGTTTGAATAGGAGATAAATAGCTTTATAATGAATAATAATAATTATCACATAAATAATTGCTTAAAGCAATTTTTTTGCTGTCTTGGAAATTAGGACATCTAAATTATCTTAAGAATAAGGAGATTCTGACAATATATAAAAGGATCTTGAGGGAATGTCTAAAAAACAATGAACTAGTGTCAAAGATTATATGTCAGTTGTGCCTGTGTTTCATGTTGCTAAATGAGACAGGATGGCATGCTGGGAATACTTTTTAGGCTTTCTATTACATATGGGAGAGTACAAATTAATGAAAGTTTAAGTTTCTGAAGAGTATATGTACTTCTACTGGAAATGCTTAATTTTGCTTAATAAAAAACATTAAAAGTGACCCAGTGGAAAAGGGCCTGAGGATGGTGGTTGGCAGACCATGAGCCAGCACATGCTCAGATGGCCAAGAGGAACAATAGCATTCTGGCCTACATTAAAAATAGTGTGACCAGCAGGATGAGGGCAGTGATTGTCTCCCTGTACTCAGCACTGGTCTGGCCACGCTTTGAATCCTGTGTCCAGTTTTGGGCCCCTCACTACATGAAAGACACTGAGGGGCTGGAGTGTGTCCAGAGAAGGGCAACGGAGCTGGTGAAGGGTCTGGAGAGCAAGTCTTGTAAGGAGTGGCTAAAGGGATCTGGGGATGCTTATCCTGGAGAAAAGAAGGTTCAAGCATGTCTTTATCGGTCGAGGGTTGTGGCAAGGTGGGGTTTGGTCTCTTCTCCCTGGAAAACAGCAGCAGGAGAAGAGGACATAGACTGAAGCTGTATGAGGAGAGTTCCACCCTGAACATCAGAAAGATTTTTTTCACCAAAAGAGTGTTTAGGTGTTGGAATTATCTGCCCAGGAAGGTAGTGAAGTCACCATCCCTGGAACTATTCAAGAAATGAGTGGTCGTGGTGGCATTTAGAGCTATGGTTCAGATGAGGTAGTTGTGTTGGGTCAAAGGCTGGACTTGAACGTATTGGAAATAATTTCCAGCCTCCGTGATTCTTTGAAAAATGCAGACTGAAAAATGTAAACAGAAATTAGATAAAAGAGTACATAAATTGGGAAAAAAGCATTAAAATCTTATTTATCAATGTTCAAAGCTATGGAAAACTACCACTGAACTGCTGTATTCACAATGGTCATTCAGAATTAGCATTATAGCTGCAGTGAGGTTACTGATGTGCTGCTTGCCTAGAGAAGGTTAAATTACTTTTATATATTTAACACCTTTTTACTTGCAATTTTGTTGTTTCTTTTAAATGCACACGAAATATTTTTTTCATAAGAAGACTGAAGAAATCATGAATCATACATGACAGCTGTCAGTTAAGCATTGCTAGAAGACACCCAGATACCATATTGATGGAAGCACTCCAAGAAACTGAAGAGAACAGTCCTGTGCTATCAGGAAAACTGATGTGATGGCCTAATAAATGTTTTCTGAATTTTAATATTTGGGGATTTATGATCTAGAGATGAATTATACCACAAAGAACCACACAGAACTCATAGGCTACTGACAGTAAGAAAGACATGATAGGTTTAAAATGTGACTAATGGTAGAAATGTAGGGAGGAAAGTGAATACACTCACATGCTGACACATGTAAGGGTAAGTATCTCTTTCATTTCATTAAAACAGGAGAAACCATAAAATCACCTAACCACATGTATTCCTTGCACTACATAGCAAAACTGTGATTTCCAAACTACATTTAAGGAGGTCCAAACATAAAAATTTGACTTCAAATTCAATTTGTATGGTGTATTAATGTCTTATTTGGGGACACTCATTTTGGAAAGCGTGAAGCTGTACACTTTCTTAACACAGACACACCAGTTCAGTCCATATTCTTTCACCATGTGGCATCAACACTTTGTATGGCATTTCTATATATCCTGTAGAGACAGGGTGTTCCATTTGTGACAAACACGTTGATGGTGGAATAGCATTAAAGGTAAGGAAACTTCTTCTGCTACTTTAATAAGGTGGCATGTTTTCACCTTTTTAGGGATTTGAAAGGAACAACAGTGATCCCCCCTGGTTCCTTTGAGGATTTTGGGAAGACTGTGACAAGATTGTATGGGAAGGATTAAGTAAGCCCTTGTGCAATTCTAAGAAGCTGTTTTGATCTTGGCAATGAGACTGCTCTGCAGGGCTTTGCACTGTCAGCCTAGAGAGAAACTGAAACCAGAGAAATATGAGAAACTCAAGAGCAGAAAAAAAGATTACTATACTCAAAACAGTAGCCAACAGTCCTCACTTATTTGCTTCTGGTCCATATATGGGATTCACTGGGATACAGTTGTGACAATAATTCTGAGAAAGGTATTACCATTTTTATCATTATCATCTTTTGCAGTCAAGGAGAAAAATACTCATTTGTGGATGGTGATGCCACTGTGTCAGAGCAACATAAGCATAAGCATACCACAGTACCCTCATCTCCTCCATTACGTATTCTGAGCTGGTCAATTATCTTTCTCTTTCCTTCTCTTCTTCCCACCATGTTTTAACCCTAACTGTACCTTCCTACCATGTTTCTTCTAATGGCTCTGACACTCACATGAGTCCATGGTAAATCAATTCAGAGTACTGATTAGGCAGAAAGTGAACTCACCAAAAATGGTGAGTGAGGTTCTGCCAGTGCAGTAAGCTGAGCTGCCTCACAGAAGGGTCAGACAAGAGCCAGAATGGGTACCAGAGAAGAAAGCAGGCAAGGACAGGAGACAGAGCTGCCTCTTTTGTGGGTAATAAGCTGCTTAACCAGCTCAGCTCTCTTGTTTTTCACTGTAAACCTGGTAAATAAATTTTGAGCCAATGATAAGTTCAAAGGGTAGAGGTTCTAGATCTCTGTGACAGTGTTCAACCAAAATTATAGCTTTCCAAAACTTTCAGAGAGCTAGGAACAAATCACAAGTGCCTGATCACAAGAATATATGACTAAGTTGAGTAGTGAATTGGTATTTTTCCCTCTCAGGGAAGTAAAATGCTGAATAGCACACTTCACACATCTGTAGAGCCACTGCCAAAAAAGGACATTCTACATAGTCTATATTATAATCTAAGTATTTCAATAGAAATGCTCTCAGAGTTGCTTTCTGCCCACCTAATCTACCTTAACTTTAAACAAAACTGTAAACAAAAAGAAGGGAAAAATTCATCTTACCGGTTACAGTCTTCATGGGTCCTCTCATCCTCTCCCAATTCCCCAAACTCAGAAATTCGATTTGCACTTCCTTCTTCATGTAAGAAAACCAAATAACTAGTACTTTTCTTCTGGTCTGGACAAAGCGAAATGAAGTAAATATTTGTGAGCTTAAATTTGGCTTAGTTTAGTTTTAAACAGCAAAACATTTTGTTTCACCATGTTTTAATGCTCTTATGAGAAGGAGTGGAGTGAAGCTCTCACAACTGAATTATGTGGCCAAATTATAAGTTTCAAATGAGAAACTGTTTTACATTAAAAAATATGAATATTTTTAAGATATTCAAAGAATTTCTACCAACTTTAAGCAAGACATGCCTAAGCATGACCTCATGATAATGTAACATTTTCAATATTTATGAATGTCTCTTTTCTGGCCAAGTGCAAAAAGTGCTGGAATTTATCTGCTCAGTCTCAAATTAGTCAAGATAGATATTAGTTGTGAAACATTTGTGGGACTAAATTACTTTTCTGTGCTGGGATGCCATGCTTATTGCACAACATCCATCGGGAATGTAACTGGCCTCTTAGAAAATCTTAGAAAATATTTGTGTCCTTGGGAGGAGCTTTTGGTCTGTGCAATTCATCGAGGGAGCTACTGGGTGGTGAAAGAGTTTGGGAGTTTTGGAATTGGGGATCTGTTGTGTCTTCTCATCAGCTCAGAATCACAGTGCCAAGGAGGGAGGCTGGTGATCTGCCAAGAGCTCAGCTCAGAATTGATTGCAACTATATTAAAATAGTCCTAACTCTGGAATATTTCATTCTCAGTTTTGATAAACTGGCATGTTTAATTGGATTAAACCCTTCAGCTGAGGATTCAGGTGAACTCTGCTACAACCAGTGAACTTCAGCTGGAGTTGGGACCTTGAAAATATCCATGGCATTCTTTTTCAATTCTGCAACACCCATTCGAAAACTGCATATGTCTTTTGAGTGCTAACGCTCACTGAAGGGTTGAAAATGATGCAAGTTAGCCACACATATCCCCACCTGCTGCTAAGTATCATAGTAGTGGAAAGCTTAGATTAGTTGTCCACAACTCCTCTGCCGCAGTGACCTCCAGTGGGAAGCAGCAGAAAATGGGAAAGTGTATGGGTAGTAAACCAGCATTGCCAAGTTCAGAAAGGTCACAGGAGATGCATGACTCTTGGTAGCTGTGTGCAGGAATGGGGGGAGGAGTGTGCACTGAACAGACTCAATCACTGGCATTGTTCAGACAAGAAGGCCTTAGGAGGCCCAAGGTTCATGCCAACACAAACTCAGAGAATCACAGTTGCTCCGGGTCTCAAAGTTGAGAAAACAAATCCCTGTTAAACTTTTAGTTATATATGGCACTAGTTTATAGTACGTCTCAACTCCCCTGGGGCTGAAAGGGCCTTTCATGGTGATTTTTTTCAACTTCATTCAAGCTCAGGGCTCTAAAGATAAAACTTGAAGTAAAACAAAACTCTGGCCACAGTTTTCTACCTCAGTGAAGTATTCTTTTCTCCTTGGAGGTCTCTACCTGCCTACCTACCTCTTCTCTCCAATTAGGTGAAAATGGTATTTGTCTTTCTTGGGTGCTTACTGTGTCTACCAATGTGGCTATTTCTCTGATCTGAGTACAGGAGATGAATTCTCTCCCCCACTCATCTCATCTCTGGGTATGCTTAATGAAGAAAAGGAGAACTTGCTGCTGATAACAAGAGATGCTCAAGCTGCTGTGAAGCCTCTGCTTTTTACTGCCTTTTACAAAATTTGTTTGTGAATCACCCGTACAGAGCATCGTGTGCTTCTAAAAATGCTTGAAATCAATATTCCAGAAATTAATATAAAACACTATGATGTTGGAATCCCATTTGCTATAATAAAACACCTAAAAATTGCAATATGCTTAACTTCTGCAGTGAACACATGCTTTTTCTTACTATTAAGCCATTTATCAATTTTAATACTCAGTGTAATTTCTATGTGACTGTAGTCTTCCTGTAGTTTCTCACTGTATCATTTTATGGCTGTTTCTGTTCTGTTTAATATTTGCTTATTTTAGTTTAAATCCCTGGAGCAGAACCTACAAACCAAACAAATACTCATAGAAAACAGAGAGCAGCTCAAATGTCCTTGGAGACACTCAATTTTTTGTTTGCTACCATTTGTCATCCTCTGCTCAGAGAGAGATCAACAGTTTTTAGCACACAGATCAATATTCTCTTAACCCAGACCTAATCTAAGGAGAGCTTCCCCAGGTTTCACCTTGGCCTACTCCTATGTGCCATAGTTGCCCTTTTTTTCAGCAATAATTTTGTCTGTGTAAGACAGCAATTTTTCATCCTTTGGTCAAAACTGGTGACAAAAGAGGGAATAATGGTTCCTGACATATCAAATGATAGATTTGACACATGGCATGCTGAGCTGGGAGCTTTCACGTGCCAAACTAGAAAGACAGATAAGCAGCCTAATGGCCCTCCTGACATTGCTGCCTCTTTTTTTTTTTTTTTTCCCTGGTATACCAAAACAGCCTGTGCTTTTTTCTTCTTCTTTTTTTTTTCCCTCCTTTTTTTTTTCCACCAGTGTTTTTTTTTCTATAACTCTGGGCAGGAAGAGAGGAAATGCACTCTACTTCAGCCCAAAATAAACGTTTCCCTGTCCTGTAAAATGATCAATCTATGCCCTTTTCCTCCAGCACAGTAAGGGCAATACAACATGCTGCTTGAGGAAATACTAACAAATATAGCCAGTGAGAGAGAAACAGATGGGACTAAGAAATTAAACCAGCAGATTTCTGGAAGGTATTCAAAGAGGAGAGTTTATAATACTGAAACAGAACTGCTCTTTAATTTTTTTTTTTTTTAAAGCAATGATCATCAAGATTTACCTTCAGCAGGGCTCACACTCTCCCTGCAAAATCCCCTGGAGGAATGATAAGAAAGGTCCTTTTTGGTACCATTCTGGCAAAAGTAAATCAAATTTCACAAAAGCCAGTGCCAGGCTGGAGATAGACAGGCTGCAACTTTCTCTGTCTTTGGTACCCCGGGACAAACACAGCAGTCTGTGTACCATGGGGCATGGCTCCAGGCATGGGATCATGTTACATCTTTACACACAAAAGCTTCTTTCAGAATCTAAACTAACAAAACAAGAACAACTTTTATTCCTCTATGGTTTCCTCTGGAGCATGTGTTCACATTTAAAATCCTGACCTATGTGTCATTTGCTTGCATTCAAAGTTATTTGTATTGCTTTGGTATGACAAAGCAACAGCCGGTCCTAACCTCGCTTAGTCACCAATAGCCTATGGACTATGGCAAAATGTTGTTTATCCTCCTCTAGTGTTGGTTCATAAATTCTTTTTCTCTCACCTTCTTTTTTTCCCCCTTTTCAGAATTTTATGGCCAGACAGTTGAGTTAGCAGCCAGCTTGTTTTTCTCCACAGCAATAGTTCTATGGACATTTTAAATGTGATCCAATAAAGGAAGACAACAAAATGAATCCAATGAAAATATTTTACTCACAAGGTCATCAAACATTGGAATCCAATGTTGGTCACCCTACATTTAAAAATATCATAGTGTTTGAATGTTCTGGGTTATTTCTTTATAATTTTCATAAATGTTTAAATATATGTGTTATACATAAAGAAACATTATATGTATATAAATCAAATTCATGGGGTTTTTTTTCTTCCTTGTAATGCTTTTTTTTTTACCCTTTTCTCCTTGATGAAAAACATTTTCCCTAAAAGTATATACATCGGCACATTCTATGGTACTTTTCACAGTTTCTACATATTTGACATTTCAACTAAACCTACAAGTAGTAAGAAATGAGATTGAAGAATGTGAAACTACAACATGGAATTTTTCTCATACTGTCCACCAGTAAATGGGAAGAGAAAATCAATCTTAAAGCACAAAAGCAAAGCAAGCCATAATCGAGACACAAAGACAAATAACAACTAATTATTTAAATAATTTTGATTGTATAAACTAAGAAAATGCTTCATCACTGGGATATAAGGAAGTCAGTTTTTGGATGCACAAGTTCCAAACAGAAAGAAAGCATTCTGTGTCTCTAAAAAAGGCACAAATAGAATAATTAGGTTTTAGTAACACCTCCTTATGAAAAAGTCTTTTTCTCTGAATGTGGTGAATCACAACACTGTGGAATAAGGCATGGTGAAGCACACTGAAACTATTTCTAACTTTCACTGTGCTGTCCTAAAAATAAAGTGTAACTATGGCTAAATATATTGTAAATGTACCATATAAAACAGATTTCAGCTTAGTAGATGGATGTAAATATTGTTAAAAGACAGCCTCTTGCTTCCCTTATAATAAACTTACTGCAAATGACTAGGTTGTGATATTGTTTGCTTCAACAAGAGCTGCAAGTATATGTTATTTGTCAAAATATTCTGATTTATCAATTTTGGTTCAAACAAAAAACACACACAAGAAGATAAAGAGTTAAGATGATGTTTCTTGTTGTAGAATTAATCAGATTCATATTAGCAGTAGTAAATGTCATGTTGGCACCTTTTCTTTCTCACACATTACAGTTTCAAGTCTTTGCTATGAGGAAATAATGAAGTAAAGATATGCAGTGCCATATACCATGCATCTTTTTTGTCAGTCTGCATAAGAAATGAATTGTATCTGCTACTAAGGAGGTCACAGGGGCAGCAAGTTAAGAAGAATGCTTAAAGAAAGGACATGTCAAAGGAAACAAGAACTTATTTTTTCAATACTTTCTAACAAGTATTGCAGTTCTGGGGAAATTAAATGCTCATAATAAATACCCACCTATTTTGAAAACTTCAGTACTAGTGTGATCAGTAGGGAAAATGTTACTTTATTGTGAAGATAAAAAATTGAGGACTTGAAAAAATCATGCCAGACAAAATGTACATCTCATGAGGTTATCCCACAGTGCACTTTTTTACTATTTTTTTTAAATCCATACTTGATAGTTAAGCTTGAAAGGTAAAAAATGGGAAAAAATGCTTCTTTGCCAGCAAGAAAAAAACTGTTTTTGACAGTTGGATGATGCTTGTGTCTTGTGGTAAATTTTCAGCTTTGCCTACAAACAGAGCCTTTC